TTAATTGCTGTTTTTCTGAGGGGGACAGCGTTGGTGGTCTAGCAGGTCTTGCAGGTGGTTGTTAGGAGACCCATTTTCTCTGCAATTTTTGAACTCCAGTTTTGGAAACTTTTTCTTCACTTTTTTCCCTCTTCCTTGTGCAAGTGGACTACCTTATATCTAATCTCCTCGGAAATATCTCTTGAAAAATGAATAACATGCTTAAAGGCAGTTTTGAATAGAAATTAAATAAATAAAAGGTGGTCTCTGAGTTTTACACTGTACTGTGTGTTGTTTTAAACATATAATAAACATCTTAAATAAATTCTACTTAGTCCATGAGGGCCTACATCCTTAAGCTAAAGATATTACCATTAGAAAACAAAACTGTAGCATTTCAGTGCCCCACCTGTACAGGTAATGACCACAGCACTGCTTTTTTATTTGGTTCTGTAGTATAAATTAGAAGTGTGTCTTCTCTCTGCATGTTTCACACCTCCATAAATGTGGCACAATTTCACTTCAGTCCCCTACAAGGCTAAGAGATTTCAATTGGCCAGATTATGCAGTTTAAAGTGCTTTACAAAGAACCGATCAGAGATATAAGGCAATGAAAATAACAGTAAAGCAGAGATAGAGTCTTATGCACTATGAAAATCAGAAAACAGTGAAATATCAGGGGAATTCCACCATTTTTTCACATTTTCTGCATAGCTCAATCCCTGAGTTGTAAGCAAAGTCATTCAGAGTGGTTTGATGTTAAATGGTGCATTGTAGAAAACTTTCATGTATTGATTTTTTAATGTAATTTTGATAATGTTAGTAGTAAATCTGAAAATAGGAGCTTTATTTGGGGGCTGTTTTGCATTATAGCACCCTGCTTGTGTCTCTCTATCATGAATGTGTTTTAAAAAGTAGATTTTGGGCCAAAACTAGTAAGAAACAATATTGATCAACATTGCTTATGGTTGAATCTGAACATAAAATGAGCGCATGCGAATTTCCCCAACAGTTATTCATCAATTTTATCCTTGGCATATCTGTATCATCAAACTTACGTTTGGTGGGAGTGTGTCTTAATTTGAATATAATAGTTTAATAACCTAAAGAAAGAAAGATTTGCAATTAACTAACAAAAACTACCATCAATATCATCCATACTACAAATAATAAGAAAAAACATGCCAATAAAACTAATACATTGTGCACCTGGCAATCCAGTACAAAAGTGGATGTGCTTATTTTATATGAACATGTAATAGAAATAAATGCTGCACCTATTCTATGTTTCATTTAAGGGCATATTACACTGTACTTTTGTGTTATATTATTGACAACACCCATAAAATAAACAATACAAAACACAGCAAGTGCAGAAGCACCTCATGCAATGCAATAATACAGTGATTCTTTTAGGAAAATATTTACACTACACAGTCACATCATTCTATCGTCCTAAAATAACTAAAAGGTTTTGTTTATTTCACATCTTATTGTTTTCAGCCGGAATAATTTTCTCCCCAATTTAGTCATATCCAATTCCACCCACTAGTTAGGACTCCCTCAATCACATGATACCCCCCACACTAGGTGGGCGAATGCTAGCATAGGCTTCCTCTGAGACCTGTGAAGCGCCACCGCGTCTGTTTTTTCGAACTGCTGCTAACGCAACGTCACTGGACAGCTGAACACGCTCGGAAGACAACGCCAACCGCCAGATCTGTTACATCGGCTAACAGACACCTGCGCTGACTAGCATCACACTGAGTGATGGGGGAAGAAGGGATGCCATCCTACCCACCCAGAGAGAGTGAGGCCAATTGTGCTCTCTTGGACTCCCAGCCACGGATGGCTTTCCAGCCACTGTAATTTTAACACTATAAAGTTTGGTCAGTAGGAGGAGCAGTGAACTCCGCCTACAAGTACAGCCATTGGCTCACGAGCCATTGACTCAGTAATTTGTTAGCACATTTGTGTACAAATTTTCTGTTATGTAGCTTTCAGAAATATTCAGATGTCTGGTTCCTGTCACCATCACTGTAACCAATTCTGAGTCTCTAAGTTTCTCTTGAACAGAGCATTTCACATCAAACCACTCCGAATGATTTTGTTCTACATTTTAACAACTGATTTTTGCAGAAATGTTAAAAAAAATTGTGTAATTCCCTTTTTAAAGTTTTCTCTTTAAAGCCCCTGTCAACATGGTTTTGAATGTTTACATTTTGGTTTTAATAGTAAATGCATGCTGTAGAAAAAGCATTTACACTGTTAGATTCTAAAAATATATATAAATTAATACAATGTAATACTAGATGCTGCCGCTCATAACTGTGCGGGCATGTCAGAACGCACAATGATTGACAGTGGTGTCTCCCAGGCAACGCAAGGCTCCAGTGGCAATGCTGAGTGGCACAGCCAATCAGATGCACATTTGAGCCCTCCTGCAGAAAAATAGACCGCTTCACTCTTGTCAGCCATTCTCCTAATAGTCAGCAATCTAATGGCCATTTTAGAGATCGAATTACATTTTGTCACTAATGTTTGAGAACTTAGGGTCTTATGATGGGAAGATCACAGACATATATCACGTCTGATATTTCAATGCTCAGCACTAATGTTTTATCCATGACCCACAGCCAGGCCTGGATCATCAAGTTATAGGCCTTTGGACACAAATGTTTGAAGGGCTCCTACTAAACCACCTTTGTTAGTGGTCAAATTCTTTTATGATATGATGCCTGTGCAGTGGTTTACCAAACTATAATCAAGTTATATATGGTTCTAGAAATAAACCTCTTGAATTAAATATTCCTTATCCGACACCCTACAGTGCTACAAAACTAACAAAGCAATAGCAAAACTGCAGACATGTTAACAAGGAACACAGGTTAACACAAACGCAACAACCAGTGCAACAACTGCAAAGCATCAGTTAAAACTCAACAGTTAAGATGTACATAAGACAAAGCAACACCAGCACCAAACTTAAAAAACAAAACCATGCAGCAAGCTAAGCTTAGCATACTGTCACAGCAGGTGTGGAAAATGTTTGGTCTTGCCTTTCATTACTTTATGCATGGACAGTTTGCAAATCCCTGCAGAAACTTTTTTCTTTAACTTGGTCTGACATTTTTAATTTGTATTTAGCTTTGGAAACAGGCCTCATCTACTCTGTTGGGGTATCATGTCTCGCTTTTACTGATCAGGCACATTTTTTCTGTATCTGGAGCTTCAAATTCAAAGTACATTCACATGCTAGCTACTGCTAAAAAACCTTAAGCTTGACCAGGGGAGAGGATAGTGTAATGGCAGTGACTGGAGGAGAAAATGAAGTGGACGTTTAGGAAAGATGTGGAGAGGGTCAGGACTAATTTTGGACCGAAACACAAAGACGAAGCTTAAATTAGTTAATTATTTTCACTGTGCTGCTAGAACAGCTTCCACCATGAGTCAAAGACTTTGTCATAATTGCTCACAGGGGCCCCCTAGTGCCCATGTGTCAAATACAAGGCCTGTGGGCCAAGTCAGGCCTGTGACACAGGCCTACTCGACCCGTGAAATTATTTTAATTTTCTATTTCTGGTTAGCTTGTTTCACCCTGAGATGCACTACAGTTCCCAGCGTGCACTGCAACATAGTGTGCACCCTTCCCCCAGCAACAATTTATAGGCCAGCGGTTACACAAAAAGAAAAGATGTCTAGTTTTAAAAAAATACCTAAATAATTTGTTTTTATTCTGAATTATTGTTGAATAAGTATTCAATGCCTATTTTGCTATTGCAGTTGGCTGCACCTATAAAACCCATGGGATGATCCAGGCCTACCTATAGCTAGCTTGCTAGCTAACTGCTGGACCATGTCTCTGAAACGGAGGTCCCATTATGAGTTGGCATGGTTATGTTTGTTAAGACTGTGGAGAAATTTCTCACCTGCCTTATTTTTGGCCACACCTATAAAGTAAAACTGTAGGGAAACACTGCAAGCCTTAATAGTGGAGGAGGGTAGCTAACAATGCTAAGCTAACATTTTATTCCTATAGTTAAAGTGGGCCACTAGCTATCACACTTTCATAAATGAAGTAAACAGCCTATATTAGGATCCTACAACAGGTAGCTAACACAAGAAGGAGGCATCATCTAGCTAAGCTAAAAAACAACAGTGTAGTAAACCTTCATAACAAGCACCGTTAAGTTTAGCGAGTAGCTGCGTTACGTTTTGTCACTAATGTTTGAGAACTCAGGCTTTTGTCTTATGATGGGAAGATCACAGACATATCACATCTGATATTTCAACGCACAGCACTAGTGTTTTATCCATGACCTACAGCCAGGCCTGGATCAGTCAAAACAGCTGTTTTGCTAATAGTTTGGTCCATATTGCTAACTGTGATTGGTACTTTGGCAGATCTGACATCACCTGTGCCACATTTAGTCTCACCCAACTCAAATCAAACAGAAGAGGCTGGCAGAAAAAGTCATTTAAAAAAGAATTAGACTGGACATTAGACTGGACTGTAGATACTACTGCATAAAAAGACGGGGGCTTTAATAATGTCCATAGATGCCAGAACCATAATAGATAAAAGTTGCCTTGCTATAATGCTTTCGTCCTGGTTTTGGGTGATGAGTGGACTGGAGAGGTCGATTTGAAATATAGCTGAGATGTTCAACATACATGTGGCTGTGACATATGGCAATACATTTAAAAGCTAACAGGTAGCCGTTGCAGAGACGAGGTGTGATGTGGAGTGAGATGGAGTGGAATGATGCTAATCACAGTGGCTGTTTCTATTACTACTCAAAATCAAGTCTGTATAGGCTTTGGGTTGTTGCCAACTTGGTTGAAAACAGCATCATCGACAGTCAGTAGAATATTAGCAGCAGATTCTTTGTATGTAAGAGTAACGTGAACAGCTTTATCTGCTAAAGATGTGGCGGTCACTGTTCTTGAGTGTGCAGACTCCCTGTCATTAACGTGTTCACCTCAGATTTTGGTGAGGACCTTTGGATCCAAGTTCATATTCAGGAGAGGAACTTCTCCACAGCTTCCAGAAACTCTGTGGAACAGTTCAAGCTCTTCAGGCCCAGCATCAGGTTGTCCTCTATGGTCTTGGCCTCCTGTTTCTCCTCATTGTGCCTAGTGCCCTCCACCAGGCTGCTCTCCTCTGTATCCGTGTCCTCGTAAAAGGCAGGCCCTGTGTTTGGGGTGGTCTGTTCCTGTTGTCCCTCTTCTTCCTTCTGATCTCCTCCTGGGCTCTCCTTTAGCGTGAGGAGGGGCATGGAGGCCATGTTGACCTTACCCTGGTCACAGTTGCTCGGTGAGACACTCTCTGGGATGGCTAGCTGTGTTGGATAAACAAATACATGGATTAGTGCAAGTCTTGTTGTTCTGGGGTCTCTACATCAAATAAGCTGGTTCCGCTGAGAAAGAATGGGTCTCATGAATTCACTACATGGACACAGTGTGGCCCCACTGCTTTCTGACTGTCCGCTAGGGCTGCACAATATATTGTTCATAAATTGTTATGACAGTTTCCCTCATGATGCTAATATCGCAGCAGTGAGAACAAGGTAAATGGGCCTCTGCAAATTCACTAGATAGCTTATTGTGTGGTATAAGCATTGTGACCAATCACAGATGTTCTCTGGTTGTTTGAATGAATTATGAGGCATTCAGATGATGTTTACCCAAGTTACATCAATTAAGATATCAGAAGCTATATTGTATTGCAATATGTAGCAATTTAATTTGCATTGATCATTTTTAAATTCTGACTGCAACACCTCTCAGCCAATCCCAATCATCTCTAAATGTTACGTTTTCCATCAGACAAAAGAGGAACTCCTTGAAACAAATCTGCAGTGAGAACGGCGGAGGCAGTAAGTTAGTCAGAAATGAATGAAGGGTGTTACTGAGGAGTGCATAATGCCTCACATACACTGTCCTGGTCATCTGGAGGGTGATGGTGTTTTCTTAAGCTTTTCTTAACTTCGCTGCTGTCTCAAAATCACAATTCTAGGTGTTCCCTGAAAATAAATTTATGCTCTTCGTTATGCTGAAAATAAAGTTAGGCTGTTCGTTAGAGGAGAAGAGATACTCAAATCAGGGTAATCGTTTAGCTGCTTCATCCACAATCGGCGAGCTTCTGTCTTTGGTAGTATTAACTAACTAGAGCTGCAGCACTGGTCTGCCTCAGGGTGGCGCTGTTGCAAATTAGGCCAAGACCAGTAGACCTCTGAAAACTTTACAATATGCCATAGCATATTTGTAAATCTGACAACTTGCCCAATTTCCCAAGAGTTTGGTGGAAAGAGTGGATTGTTACACATTTCTCAAACCAAAGACAGAAGAGGAGATGTGTAAGATCTAAAGTTAAAGTTAAAATGTGGAAGAGCATTAGCAAACTAGAAAACAGCATTTTCAGAAGATGAATTATTAAACCAAACATTTTGTTGCTATTGAAGCATCAGCACCGCTATGGCAAGTGAGTTAACAGCCAGCCAACACTGGAGTTGCCACTAGCCAGCCAATATGGGACCCCTCAAATACCAGGGGGCATTTCGCACACTGGCTGGGTCAGACGTATTAGTGTTAGGTTAGGAGGGGGTAACATATTAGATGCAGGTTGGAACTAAAAGTTCATTTTTAAATTAAAAAATGTTTCTAATGTACATTTCTGTGTGCTTCTAAACTTTCCTTTGAACTTTTTAGTCAGTTAGTACAAGCACTACGGATGCCACCAGTTTGGTGGACGTAACATAAACTGAGGGAGACAGGACTTTTCTTGAATATTGCAAATGGTCAACGGTAAGGTTTCTGCCCATGCCACAAATCCTAACCAGGTTTTTGAACTAGTGCCTTGGTTCCCCCACTAGAAGCACCTTATAGTAGTGGGTACCATAATATTTATCGCAGAAAACTAAATTATCGCAGTGTTATTTTTTCCTCCACTATTGTGTAGCCCCTGTTTTCCATCTATATACACACAACTGGAACACCTACCTTACCTTTTCTTGAGCCAGGTAGTTCTTGGCCTTCCCCTGCTGAAGCTGATGCCTTCGCTCCATTTCTCTCAGCAGGTTGGTTGAGTGGGAGTTTCTGAGCGAATGAGTCTGCTGGTCCATCGGATCCAACTCTACATCACTCCAAACCTGTAAAACACATACAGAACACCGATATTACAGACAGTAGCTACCTGCTTCAAAGGGGAATTCCACCATTTTTCAAAATTTCTGCAGAAGATTCATTCAGTGTGGTTTAATGTGAAAGGTGTCTAGAGCAACTTACAAAGTCAGAGTTGTTCACACTGGTGAGGAATGAGACATCTGAAGTGCTTAATGACCCTAAAAGCTGCATCAGGTAAAGTGATTACAATGATAGTTTTGAAATAAGGTTTTGGCTATTCATGGTGGGGAGGTACATGTATTTCTTCAGATTTACTACTTATTTTTTACCATTATCATCTTTTTTTTTGGACAGCCATGAATTATAAAAACTCAGGAGAAACATGTAGTTTCACTGGTCATTTTCGATAGCAAAATAAATGTCTGCATTTTTGTTTAAAGGCCCACATCCAACATTTTTTCTTGCTATTTTATCTTTCCCCCCTGAGGTCCACTTATGATGTTTGTGTGGTTTCATGTACCAAAAACAGTCATAATTCACTTTTACACAAGCATTTTTCAGCCTCTCTTTATCTCTTAGAATTAAACAGGCTGTTTCTGTTACTGTGCCTTTAAGGCTGATATATGTAAATGACCTCTTTTCTGACTGGCTGCACTGTATTGTGCCTCCTTCCAATAAGCCGTTTGTGCTAAAACACTCCTAATTGCTTGAGCATGAATGTAACCTGTTGTAAGCTGAATTGCACATATATGTAAAAGTCTTGGGTTTCTTTGTAAGCCCTTTGGGCCCTTTAAAGACATCATGACCCCTGGTTTCTATCACCACCATGGTAAAAAATCTGACTTGATACATTTTTCTCCACAGTGCTCCATTTCACATCACACTGAATGAATCTGTTTACTGAGATGAAGCATGCAGAATTTTTAAAAAATTGATGGAATTCCCTTTTAAGAAGCGCATGTAGTATGTAAGTAAAGTATCTAGCTTCAATTACAGTTTTGATTGCATAACAAATAAGTAAACAGATTTACAATCACAGGTTTGTCCAGAAACAGGGGTGCGAATATGATCTGACAAGTGGGGGGGGGACCAGAGTCAGGAGGCTATGGCTTACACATATTTTATGTGTGATGTTACACTTAACATATTGATATCTCATGCTTTATATGTCAATATTAAAGCACGTAAGTAATATTATCAACAGGAATAATAATATGATACATATTCAGTATAGAGATTTGATTTCGTTGCCTATTACCATTTTTTATTTTCCATTGCGTCATCTGATCTGCATGTTGTTGTCATAAATATTTTTGCAAAATGCCCCAATAATAATAAATATGGTGATAATTAAGGAGGAAAAAGGTGGACGTTTAATAACTGTCAAGGCATAAGTCAACAAATGTTCATAGCACAGAAAAGAAGTGTAAAATGATTGCAGGACGGGTTCTTTCTTTTAGTTGCTTGGATTTGGGTTTAATTAGAGTTTTAAACTGTAATTCACAGCTATATAATTACTGATATCTGACAACTCATTTGCAACTCAGATACAGTCAAGTCCATAAATATTTGGATGTTGACAAAGTTATTGTTATTTTAGCTGTCTACCACAGCACATTGGATTTATGATTGTTAGGTTGTCCAATTTTTTTTGAGCCCCCTCCCTATTTTTCGGGCTTTCTCGAGTACCTGGACAAACTAATGTAATCATACATTAAATTGTCATTATTAATACTTGGTTGCAAATCCTGAAGTCTAGAACCCATAGACCCTTGACCAGAGGCTGGGTTTCTTCCCTGGTGATGCTCGGTCGTCCTTTACTGCAGCTGTCTTCAGTGTTTTTCCTTCAGTTTTGCCTTCAGCAAGTGAAATTCATGCTTAATTGACTTAAGGCCCGGTGACTGACTTGGCCATTGCAGAACATTCCACTTTTTTGCCTTAAAAGGTTGCTTTCACAGTATGTTTCTGGTCATTGTCCACCTTCACCATGGCTCACCGTCCAATGGGTTTTGAAGCATTTGGCTGAATCTGAGCAGACAATGTAGCCCTATACCACGGGTGCACAACTCCTGGAGGTCCTGGAGGGCTGGTGTCCAGCACAGTTTGGTGGTTTTCCTACTCAAACACATCTACCCGGCAGTCAGAAGATTAGCTGAAGCATGTGTGTTTGAGCAGGTAAATCACCGAATTCTGCTGGACGCGTATTGTGCACCACTGCCCTATACATTTCAGAATTCATCCTGCTGCTTTTGTCAGACGTCACATCAATAAAAGGGAGCAAGTTCCGTTGGCATCCATACATGCCGACACCATAACACTACCTCCACCATGCTTCACAGATGAGGTGGCATTCTTTAGATCATGAGCACTTTTTTATCTCCATACTCCACTTGTCCTATCATTCTGGTACAGGTTCATCTTTGTTTCATCTGTCCATTAGACATTGTTTGAGAACTGTACATAATGTTTTTTGCAAAATCCTAATCTGGTCTTCCTGTTTTTGAGGCTTGCCAAACCACAAATTCACCTACTTCCTGGAGGGTGTTCTTGACATGGCCAACTGTTGTGAAGGGGTTTCTTCACCACTTCCCCTGCCCCTGAATTTGCACCGATGACTGGTTTAAGTAAAACACAGTCTTCAGAAGCACAGGGTGAGTTCTTCTGGGTTTTGGCTGCTTGCCTTTCCCTGGCACTGTGCCCTGAGACGGTTCACTAGTAATGGATGAAGACAGTTGTCTGACAAACATGAAGTGTTGTTTTCCCTACAGCTCACAGCCCCGTGCAATCTGTGCATCATCAGAACAGCATGAGGGGGAATGAAGCCTTTCTGTCCCCTGTGGCTCTGTTTTTGTCTGGTATAACTTCTCAGAAGTTCTGTACCACAGTGGGTCTAGTGTATCATGTATAGATGTGGCTTTTGAAATAAGCATGATTTTGTAAATGGCTGCTGTACACGCCAGGGAAGAGACCCAGCATCTGGTAATATTGGCCATCTGGCCATTAAATATATATTACTCTTTTTTCAGCATCAGGAAAAAAAGCAAAGCAGTTTTTTTAAGAAATCTGCAGAGATGTTTTTCCACACCTCCAAAGTTCAGTCTTAGAGGTTGCATTTTCTACTTCTCATGATCCAAGTAATCCCAAACACATTTAGTGATGCTGGAGGTCTGGACTCTGGGGTGGCCAGTCCATTGTTCTGAGAACACCAGGAAGAATGGACATAAACACTTATGGATTTTTTCCAGATCTGGAGCAAGCTTGATTTTCAAATACCTCTCAAAGATATCCATAACAATTTCTGCATATATCAGCCCTTATGATGTAAACAAAGTAATTTAAAGTGGTTTGATGTGAAATATAAAATGTGGTTAATCTGAAAAAAATATATATTTTGTTGGGGCGGGGGGCTTTTGCCTTATAATGCCTTGTATCTACCTTATCTCAAAACTATTGGAAATCAGTGTCTCAGGCATCAGGAAGCATTTTTGCAACCATTTAATGTAATAACTTTCTGTGAGGTAGTTTTTAGAGGAATTTGGACATCTGGTTCCTATCACCACTACTGTGTATAATTCTGAATTTGCAAGTTTATCTAGATCTGCGAAATTCACCTCAAATCACTCTGAGCGACTGTGTTCATATCTTATATATGTATTGTTTCAGAAATTTTGAAAAATCAGCGGAATTCCACTTTTAGGTACTGTTTATCTGATGGGGACATTTCTGGCAGTCTTCCAGATCGTGCCAGTTGTTGTTAAGGAGTTCCAATTTCTCTGTATCTGTTAATAATTTTTTATCTCAAACTGTACTTCTTTTCATTTTAAGTGCCCCTTCTAGTTTATCTTATATCTAACCTTCTGCTCCTGGCCATTTTGACCGGAAATTAAATAAATGAGGTGGTCCTTGACTTTTGCACAGTACTGTATATATCACATACTTTAAGCGGTCATTAACTGCTGAGGATTGCAATCACACACTGTCACAAAAGTGACAGTTTTAAGTTGATTACACATGGTTCCCCAGAACGGGGGGGTGGGGGGGTGGATATGTATAAAAGCATCTGTGATTCCTGTATGACTCACCCAATCTCTATGTATGTGGCATTCTGTGCTTTAACCTCATAACCAAATTTGCAAACGTAAGATTCAGCGATGTATTTTCATGTGCAGTGACATTTCTGAGCGCTGGCTCCAGGCAGAATTGCTAATGGGAAAAAATCCACAATACCGACTCATAGGAGAACTCACTGTGTCACCAGTGGACATAGAGGACACTCGCTGGAACTTGGCCTTTGACCCTGATGACTGCCTACTGAGCATAGATTCCCTGAAGGACGACTCGCTGTTGGAAACGGAGACACATTCCTTTCTTGGAGGCTTAGCCAGGAAGTAGAGACATGGAATCTTCTCAGCCAGAGTGTTCCTATGTGTCACAGTCCCCAAAGGAGAGGCCAGAGGGGGAAAACGTAAAGAATAAAAGACTGACTCAACAATCGCTCAGTCGGAATGAAGAGAAAATGTGTGGAAGTGGATGGAAACGCTCACCTGTATTTGGAGTGGATGATGGCGTAGATGATAGGGTTATAAATGGCTGATGCTTTGGCTATGACTGCAGGCACCGCCTTCGAATATGGTGTTAGGATACTGCTATACCTGAAACGTAGAATAGGCCAAAATCACTTTTGAATTCAAACACTGGAAATGTCCTTTTCTTTAGCCCAATTCACCTGGGCTAAAGAACACCTGGAGTGTTACTGTATTTGAAGATATTTAAATGATAATGAGATCTGCAATCAGTATGAATCTGCAGTGTGTGTAGTTTTACAGTCCGACAGTAATAATTGTGGAGTGATTTTAATCCAGTATGAATCTGCAGTGTGTGTAGTTTTTACAGTCTGACAGTAATAATTGTGGAGTGATTTTAATCCAGTATGAATCTGCAGTGTGTGTAGTTTTACAGTCTGACAGTAATAATTGTGGAGTGATTTTAATCCAGTATGAATCTGCAGTGTGTGTAGTTTTACAGTCTGACAGTAATAATTGTGGAGTGATTTTAATCCAGTATGAATCTGCAGTGTGTGTAGTTTTACAGTCTGACTGTAATAATTGTGGAGTGATTTTAATCCAGTATGAATCTGCAGTGTGTGTAGTTTTACAGTCTGACTGTAATAATTGTGGAGCGATTTTAATCCAGTATGAATCTGCAGTGTGTGTAGTTTTACAGTCTGACAGTAATAATTGTGGAGCGATTTTAATCCAGTATGAATCTGCAGTGTGTGTAGTTTTTATAGTCTGACAGTAATAATTATGGAATGATTTTAATCCAGTATGAATGAGCAGTGTGTGTAGTTTTTACAGTCTGATAGTAATAACTGTGGAGTAATTTTTAATCCAGTATGAATCTGCAATATGTAGTTTTTACAGTCTGACAGCAACAACCACTGTGTGATTTTAATCCATTATGAATCTGTAGTGTGTGTAGTTTTTACCGTAATAATTTTGGAGCGAATGGCCTTCTGTAATTGTCAGACCAGAGCTGATAGATAAGGCTGTGTGCAGTGTTGTTATTGTTATTGAGTGTGGCTCCTGTGATGTAACACTGACGTGCATCTGGTTGTGACATTTCAATCAGGGCTTTCCATGTTAATTTTGGTTAATTATGCAAACTATCCTGTATAAATTATAAACTCGCTTTCAAATTACATTGCAGAACCTCCTCTGGGAAAACTGACCCAGCTCCAACAGTACTTTTTTAGGTTGAAAAAAGATAGATAGGTGCACTTTGTAGTTCTACAATTACAGCGCTCATTGACATTGATGTCAACACTAGCTTTCCACACTGGACAACTGATTCTGACACCATAGGAACCCGGCATTTAGGAAAGAATGGCTGTGTTGGCTAATGTGGTGTAGCTTCTTGCAGAGCTTGTTTATCCGGCAGGGCAGTGACCCAAAGGTGTTGTGGATTTGAATCACATGCTTGATTATCTTCCTCCTCCATTAGAATGCACCCCATCAGTTCTCATCTGCTCTGCAAGAGGCTCGAGCCACGAGCTGCCCTCCAGAACTCCACAGAGTCTCACCCGTCTCTTTCCACTATCCTCCACCACACTTCTGTAAAAGGGTGTTTTCTTATTCCCTGTAGATTTAGATCCGTGGTTTTTTAGGCCAGGGGAACAAATAGAAGGTCATTTTTCTTCTGAAGGCCAAATGCTCCGGCTGAATACTAAGAATTTGGTTTCAAGAACAATTCATGTTTATTTAAAATATATTTTTATATTTTAATTAAAGAGACCTGGATTCACTGTTAACTTTGAAGGTCAGTGGTAAAATGAAATAAAATGTTGGTCTTGGTCAGCTTCTGTTAAGGCATGGTGTTTTGTAAGTGACATTTTCACAGAGGCCCTGCAAACTTGCCTCTGGTTATTGTGATATGTCAGCTCTCATCCCATCATCACATCATTTCTTACTTCAGTACTTGTGCTTATGGACAGCTGAATCTTTAATTGCTGTGGGCTCTTAGCAAGAGGGGAAAAGATGGAACCAAACATGCTAAGGTGGAGACTCTACATTCATATATATATATATTATAATATATATATATATATATATATATATATATGCACACCGATCAGGCATAACATTATGAGCACCTCCTTGTTTCTATGCTCATTGTCCATTTTATCAGCTCCACTTACTACATAGGAGCACTTTGTAGTTCTACAGTTACAGACTGTAGTCCATCTGTTTCTCTGCATACTTTGTTAGCCCCCTTTTATCCTGTTCTTCAGTGGTCAGGACCCCCACGGACCTTCACAGAGCAGGTACTATTTGGGTGGTGGATCATTCTCGGCACTGCAGTAACACTGATGTGGTGGTGTGTGTTGTGCTGGTACGAGTGGATCAGATACAGCAGTGCTGCTGCCGTTTTTAAACACTGTGTCCACTCACTGTCCACTCTATTTGACACTCCTACCTTGTCAGTCCACCTCGTAGATGTAAAGTCAGAGACATAGCTCATCTGCTGCTGCACAGTTTGTGTTGGTCATCCTCTGGTCCTTCATCAGTGGTCACAGGACGCTGCCCACAGGACGTTGCTGGCTGGATATTTTTGGTTGGTGGACTATTCTCAGTCCAGCAGTGACACTGAGGTGTTTAAAAACTCCAGCAGCACTGCTGTTTCTGATCCACTTAGACCGGCGCAACACACACTAACACACCACCACCACATCAGTGTTACTGCAGTGCCGAGAATGATCCACCACCCAAATAGTACCTGCTCTGTGAGGGTCCATGGGGGCCCTGACCACTGAAGAACAGGGTAAAAGGGGGCTAACAAAGTATACAGAGAAACAGATGGACTACAGTCTGTAACTGTAGAACTACAAAGTGCACCTATATAGTAAGTGGAGCTGATAAAATGGACAATGAGTGTAGAAACAAGGAGGTGGTCATAATGTTATGCCTGGTCGGTGTATATATATATATATATGTATGTATATGTGACACCTTTAAACCTTCGTCTCACACACTTGGTTGGTTCTTCACATACAAAGATGGTTCTTCGAGGGTTCTTTAATAAGGGCAATGGATCTATTTCATTTCATGCTTAAATGGCTCTTTTCATGGTGAAATGGTTCCTCAGATTGATAGAGAATATGTTGTACATGGTTCTATATAGCATCAAAATGGGTTCTGCTGTTGTTACAAGCTTGACATTGTCACAATAGAAGCACCTTTCTTGGAGCTATAAAGAACCATTTTCGAAAAGATTCTATATAGAACCATAGAACCATGCAAGGAACCATTTAAGCATGACATGGTTCTAAATAGAGCCACTGCCTTTTTTAAATTGGACCAACTAGTTCAAGTCTTTAAAGCACAAGAGGTAAAACTGTCCAGTGAAAAGAAGAAACAACAAAAAGAGGAAAGTAGTGTTTACCCTGCCCAGGCGATGAGCGTAACAAAGGCGTAGGGTGACCAGGAAAGCACATATACAATGATGACCACAAAGGCCACCTTCGCCAGCTTCCACTCTGTCTTTATAGACTGCTCCTGGATCAGTGTGGTTTTCCGCACATGGGTCCCCAGCCTCTCCACGTCTCTGAAGACACAAAGGAAGGAAGTTAGCTGGTGCTCTTGTGCTGCTACTGTGATGGCCCATACACCCCATAGATACGGTTTGTAAATGTATTTATCATGACTGTTCTCTACAAAACATCTTATTAATTGACCACAAGGCCTTACTAACCCTCCACTCCACTGCAAAAAGGCTAATAATAATCCTGGACTATAGAATTTGAAACTAGTAAAAATCTTGGGTTGCCAGGCCCTCATGTAGCACAGTATTAAACACACAAATTATCATGTTAACAAATATACTTTTGCACTATCCTTTTATATAAATATACAACATATCGCTGCTGTCGGGACAAAACCATGTATCTCCATATTTGGCGTTTTTCAGTTTTTGACATAATTTGAAAACACCTGTTACTCTTTCCATTGCCTGTAAATATAGAAAGAAAGATGCATTAGGATGCATCGATAATCGTTTTATAATCACATCGCAGCCTTTTAATCGTAATCAAATCGAATCATGAGGTGCACACACATTGAGCATAGTGTTTAGGCAGGCCACGAAGTCAAGCTCAGGCCCCAATCTCGTATCATCACCTGTTATCAGCTGATCTCAATCAGCTGAGTGCTCAGTTGATCACCTATTATGCATAAAATTGGCTAATTCATCAGGGAGCTTACTTAAGCTGCTTTAGTCTGCCCATTCTCACTACTCCTCTGCAAGCCACTTTGCAATCTCCTGCTGGCTTTCTGCTGCTCTCCCTGCCTTGGGCTTTCCATGTGAGCACATGGAAGGGCAATGAGGTCCCAGAACAGAGCTATACTGCTAAATAAAATTTATTGCAAGTGAAAAAAAAATAAAAAATCTTTGACAAAGTGGTTCTGACTGAATTAAAACATACATCATATGCAAAGTTGTACTCTTGTAAGTAAACTGTGTTTGCACAGTTTTTATTCCACAAATCATATTTACACATTGTAAAATGGACCCACATGAAGGATTTACTGGCAACTGTTACTGTGTTGATCCTCCACTGTGTTACATGTCAATCATTAGAGCACACTAATGTTTAAACTTAGCTCACTAGATGAAACCATTTGCTTTAATATCTACAAATTTAAAAATAATTCACAAATAAACACATTCAACTTGATTTGCATTCCCTGAACGAAAAGCAGATTTTGCAAGGAAACAAAAAATAAACACATTTTTTGAGCAACGAGACACAGAATTCAAATAGTGAAGAAAGAAAGAGGAAACGAAAGTAGGAAAGAAACAGAAGGAAGGAAGAGAAAGAAAGAAAGGAAGGAAGGAAAGGAAAGGAAGGAAGGAAGGAAGAGAAAGGAAGAAAGGAAGGAAGGGAGAGCAGGGGAGGAAGGAAGGGAGGAAGAAAACTAAACTAAGTAAGGAAAGAAGAATGAAAGAAAAAGAAAAGAAAGGAAGGACAGAGGGGAGAGAAGAAAAAGAATGGATGGAAGGACAAAAATGAAACTAAGCAAGGAAATAAGGATGGAAGAAAAAGACAGAAAAGAAAAAAGAAAGATCGTAAAAAAGAAGGAGAGAAAGAAATAAAAAATGAAAAAAAGAAGGATGGATGGAAGAAAGAAACCAAAAGAAAGACATGAAAGAACGAGGGGAAAAACGAAGAAGCAAATGAGTTAAAGTACAATAAATATTAAAGAGCCTGGCAAGCAATGTAGATCATTCAGGGTAGATTTTGAAGTTCTGTTAGTAGTTTTTTAAAGTCTCTAAAAGGCCTTAAAGCACCACTTACATCACGTTCCAGCACCTGATCTTAGATCTGCAGGCACTGACCTTCTGCAAAACACCTGACATAAAGTATAGAAACCGTTGAGAGACTCTTCCAGTTATTCTGCTTCTAAACTGCGGACTTTAATTCCACCTTTTGTTAGAGAGTCAAGCTCAGTGCTCACTTTCAAGAAGCATCTAAAAAACTCTTTAACTTAGCATTTGATTAAATTCTACATCTCATAGTTCATAGTTTCCTCTATTACACTTAAGCTTTATCACCTGTCTGTAAAGCACTTTGAGCTGCCACTGGCATAAAAAGCACTTTTTCTTATTAGTAGTAATTAATTAACCACACAGTAAAGCTAGAATGCTACGACCGATTGGTCGACTGGTCAACTTAGAGGAAGCAGACCTCATATTTCTACATATATGCACTACAATGCATGAAATCAAGCATCTCCACAATACCTTTACCTGCTTGTGCTACGTATAGCCAGAAACATGAAGAAGTAGCAGTAGGATATGATCCCCAAGGGGATGAAGAACACAAAGCAGCACAGCATAAGGGTGTAGCTCTTGTTAGCCGGAGTAGAGGTGACATAGTCCCATGTGCAAGACGTCATGAGGCCCTCTGGGATATAGGAGCCTGTCCATGAGAAGACAGAGGACAACAAGTTATCAACGTCAATAACCTGATTCGTATTGACTTGTGAGGTGTTAAAATGACCCGACTGCAGAATCAGACAGATAGTTGTGTGACAAAGGGGAGGGGGGGGTGTGAAGAGGAAACACAGGGTGGCTGCAGTCACTCACTCCATCCCAGTAAAGGTGCCAGACTCCAGGCTAGAGAGTACAGCCACACCAGCAGGATGCTGAGGAGTGTCCGGCGTTTTGACGTCCACCGGATGGCCTGCAGAGGCTTGGTGATCACTATGTAGCGGTCGATGGATATGGCCAACAAGTTGATCATGGAAGTGATCCCAAACAGAGCCCCACAAAAGGCATACATCTTACACCCTAGACAGCAGTGTAGTAAAGCAGGGATGCAGTGTAAGGATTCTTTAGCTGAGCAGCTGTTTTATAAATGCATACAGTTAAAGCAAAGCTTAGGCCAAAAATAGAATTTACAGACTTTCCTCCATAACAATAAAACAAGTCTATCGGCCAGGACATGTTTGAAGTTTTCTTCTTTAGTTTGGCGCTGGAGCTGTGAGACTAACTTAGCTGCAGAACTAATGTAGCATATACTGTAGATACGCGATATGGCCAAATGTATGTGGACACCCCTCCTATTGAGTTTAGGTGTTTCAGTCACACTCATTGCTAACAAGTGTGTAAAAACAAGCACATAGCCATGCAATCTGCATAGACAAACATTGGTAATAGAATGGGTCATACGTAAGCCCTGGGTACACTTAATGACTTTTAAAGTCATAATAGATTACAGTGGTGGACAGTAACAAAGTAAATGTAATTCATCACTGTACTTCAGTAGTTTTTCCGTGTATCTGTACTTTACTGAAGTATTTCCATTTTGAGCGACTTTTAACTTTCACTCAACTACATTTCAAAGCCAAATATCTCACTTTTTACTCCACTACATTATGTGAAATCTGTCGTTCCTTTTGGTTTATGTGTGTATAAAAACGTAACATGTCAAAACAAAAGAAGCACGAGGCAAGAACACCAATCAGGGCACAGGGGTCACTTAGTTTTGAGCTTGTTTTGACCTGTTGGACATACTGACCCAGTGCAGCAATGTGCAACAGCGCCTATTCCTGCATAAATGATGAACTAACCTAACTTTGTGTAAATAGACAACAATATAGAAATATGTACACATTCATACAAACATTATTTTATTTTATGGTAAATTTGTTTTTGCTAGTTTATGTTATGAACAGAGACCTACAGATGCAGTATAGTAAAGAAAACTCATTTGTGAACCTGTGTTTAAAGTTTTTATTAAACTTAAACTTGTAACTGTAAAGTATCTTGAACCGAAATTTGCTTGTTTGCAAAAAGTTATTTCAGAGCCACTCAGTTCTATCTGATGGAAATTGTTTGCCTTCAGTGTTTTGTGCTTATGATAATTTTAATAGACATCAGCGTCACTAATTAATGACATTCTATTAAAAGATTGGTTTACCAAGAGAGACACTGGAGTATTTTCACCTGAAATGAGTTAATGAAGCGAGTCTTGTTACAAAAATGATAACAGGACATCAGAGTCATAATTGACTTTTTAGTACTTTTACTTTCAAAGCCAAATATCTTATCCCGTTAAGTACATGGGATGGCAAATACGTCTGTTCTTTTATTCAAGTGGAGGTCTAAAGGAAGGACTTCTACTTTTACTGGAGTAATATTTTACGTTGGGTATCTCTACTTTAACTCAAGTACATGATTTGCGTACTTCGTCCACGACTGATAGATTATAACAAGACTGGGAATCTCACACTATACGAGTGGTTTTTGCAGATTTCTTTGGGTGACTGAAATATTAGGGATCACACACTAAACGATAAGGGATTACACACTACTCAACTTTTAAGCTGTTGCTGAACCAAATGGAACTCACTGAACTTGCACGAACTCTCATGAACTCTCGCGAACTCTTGCATTCTCCCGTTACTAGGAGACCTGCTTGCTGCTGCTGTTATTTCTGCCATTTGCGCTGACACAGTAAAGTAGCAGCAGGTGAACATGTTTAAGTGAGGCTCAATTGTGCTCGTGCCTTAAACTCAGCTCATTAAAAAGCTTTGCTCCACATGTGAGAGACTTTAGCCATTTTTCTTTGTTTACTTGCTGTATTTTCTTCTTTTGTGCTCTCAGTTTTCATTGGCTGTTGCAGGAATCCATTCAGATTGAGTCAGTGACCAGTATACACTACTAGATAATGCTCAGAGTCTGGTTAATAAAATCTACTCCGACTGGTCTGAAACGTGACCAGAAGGCCAAAAAACCACATCCTTCACACACTACTCGATTCTCTCTCCAACTGTCGACTCCGACTGACAGACTTGAGCCGACCAGCACAGACTCACCAAGACTAAGAATTGGGGCTAAAATCAAGATAAAAGTCATGTAGTGTAACCCCGGCTTAAAGGGCCCTGTCATTGGATGCCACCTCTGACACAAGTCAGTTCATGAAATTCTGTCCTGCTAGATCTGCCCCAGACAACTGTAAGGGCTATTATTGAAATTAAATGGAAGTGTCTAGGAGCAACAATGACTCCATCACGAAGTGGGAGACCACACAAACTCACAGAGTGGGGCTGCTTAGTGCTGAAGTGTGTAGCACATTAAATTGTTGCATCACTTACTAAAGAGTTCCAAGCTGCCTCTGGAAGCAACAACAGCACAAGAACTGTGTGCTGGGAGCTTCATGAAATGGATTTCCATGGCCGAGCAGCTGCACACAAGCATAAGATCACTATGCATCAGCTGGAGTGGTGTAAAGCCCTTCGCCACTGGACGAAAAAATGCTATTTTTGTGGTAGTTTTTTAATATGACAAAAGCTGCAGTTGTGCTGTATGCTTTATCTATCTGCCCGTGTAGAGGTATGAACTGTAATCACAGCAGAGGATTCTCATTCCTTCCCTTTCACCACTCATTGCTCACTAGCAGCTCAACATAAAGCAACAGCGTTTCACACACAGAGAACCAACAGTGTCCTGGTTAATCTGATAACAGATTTGCAGGGAGAAAGTATTTTATTTGATTATATTAATAGCAAATATCTAAGTGGATTTCAATTCCGCTGGCAAAGTGGCCACTAGTGGGCCTGCAGAAAGAATAAGGAACTATATTGTTATCCAAATCACTTCTAACTCCTGTGCGAGTCTTATGCCTGCATGGAATGATATCAAACTTATTATTACTTCTTAGCTACATTAGCCTTGTAGCCACACGTCTTTACTGATCAACTGCGTTTAGGCTAAGGGGAATAGTTCATTTTTGGCCCAACCGCTGCTTTAAAACACCCAAACAGAATTGAATAATGTAGCTGGAGGAGTAAAATGGAATTACCTATTTCACCGAACACCCACTCCTTGTACATGCAGTTGACGAAAAAGATGGGTGACTGGGTGGTGGCCATGAGGAAGTCACTCACAGCAAGGTTCATGATGAAGTAGTTGGGTGGAGTCCGTAGTTTCTTGTTACTGGAATAAAAGAAGTGAAATAGTTCTTACAGTTAAGTGACTCTCCTACCATTGCATTGCATCATACTGTAAAGTACATTATGTGCATCTTGGCTGATAAATCAATATTAGTTTTATAGTGAGACAATTTGCCTCAAAAGAACTGAGACTCTTCATGAGTGGTCAATGTGATGGACGAATATGTATGAATACTGTCTCATCAACATTCACATGGTTCGAAAGTTCCAGTCAATACTGTCTCATCAAGCTGACGATTAAGCATATATATATATATATGTATATATATATACCTATCTATCTATCTATATATATATATACATTGACTTCCATTCAAAACTAAGAATGTTTTCTTCTCCTGTAAAGTTAACATTTTGGAGATATCAGCAGTTTTGCCCTGCCCACTCAAGCTGAAGTTATAAGGAGTGTTTTAGCCTCGACTGCTTTAAGAATGAGAATACAATAGGCCTAGCAGAACAGAGATCAGGTAACACTTTCTATGAATGTCACCTTTGTAAACATCTATAAACACATTCATAACATGTTATAATGCATGCATAAGACATTATAAACATAGCTATAAATATTTATAAAAATGCATTATACATTATAACCATGTTTATTATGCATTATGAATTGTTAACATAATACATTATAAGTACTGATCATAACAAATTATAAGAGCTCATAAGTCGTATTTGTCTGCTCTAAGTAAAGTGAAGCGTACTGTACTAAAGCCTCCTCCAGTGTTCAGAGTGAGGCTTCAAGTTGAAGTATTTACTGAAGGATTTACTGAAACACTAAAACATACACAGTAAAGCACATTACAGGCTTCAAATGTCAGAGTTTAAACTAGAGCTGCATCAGTGTTTTACCCAGTGTGGGAAAGTCAGTGTACACCACCGTTAGCTTGGTATTTGTCTTTACTTTACGCTCTCCAAGCTGGGACTGACTTCTTTGGCACTGACATTATAACATGTTATTAACACTGTTTATAATGCATTATATTAACAATTCATAATGTATAATAAACATGGCTATAAAGTGTAATTCAGTGTAATTCTTTTTTATAAATCTTTATAATCATGTTTATAATTCCTTATGAATACATTATAACATGTTATAAATGTGTTTATAGATGCTTACAAAGGTGACATTCAAAAAAAGTGTTACCAGAGATCATTTACTTATATCAGTCTTAAAGGTACAGTAACAAAAACAGCCCAGTACATTCTCTATTCTCTCCACCTGGATGCACATTCCTCTGAAGCTGCTGCTGATTGTTCTCTGGTAATTTAGCACATTGATTTAGAGAATTACAGTAGCGTTGCACACTCACTGTGATTACACACCTCCACTAAACCCACACAAACACAGCCCACCATTTCCTCTAATTGAAGTTTGTCCAGTCTTGACCTGCTGAAGAGCACCATCCTCTATTCATCAAGCATTACCCAAAGCCCCACATTAGCACAGCCAGCAGGGGGTCAGAACCCAGAATCAACACTTCAGCCCAGCAGTCTCACCCTTTCCCAGAAAAGCCTGCAGGGAGAAGCTTTTCCTGATAAAACGGGTCAAAGTTTGAAGTCACTCTCAGTCAGGAGGAAAAAATCCACTCAATCATAAACGAGTGCATTAACAGGATCACTTTTTTGACGTGTTTGTGCTAAATAATGACAATGCTGTGATGTGCAGTGCATTCAGGGTTATCTGGAGGGTAGTTTGCACAGTGCTCATGTCCTCTTAACACGTTAGGAACAACTGAACTAACCATCCAACACCCACATAGCAATTTTGTGTAATATTTACGGATGTCTAGAGCGGCCATGACTGTTCTGATAACTGTTATTTTGAGATTTAATTATCTTGTGATCTCAAGATAACAAAAGTTGTTTTCTCGATATTACAATATATTTGTCTCGTGATCTCAAGATAAGTTGTGATCTGGAAAAAACAACTTTTGTTATATTGAGATCACAAGAAAAATATGTTGTGATCTGGAGAAAACAACTTTTGCTATTTTGAGATCCCAAGAAAAATAAGCTGTGACATTGAGAAAATAACTTATGTAATTTTGTCATCACAAGACAATTAAGTTGTGATATCAAAATAACACTCCAGAAAATTTTAACTACCTCATGGCCTCTCTGGACTTCCGAACATATTCCTTTAAAAATCAATTTATTATGTTTTTTGTGTGTTTGTGAATGGTCACACAACTTTTGAACTCAACATAATTTGGAAATCATAAAGCATTTTCCTTGATGTATGTGGAACATATGCATTTTTTATCCATATGTTTTTCATCCATACACATTTTTATATAAAATTATTTAATAAACACACATCATACTCTACAGTAATATACAAACATTTGATTTTCTTTTTGTTGATGAACATTTTGTTGATTTTCTAAGTGAATTGAGGGAACACACAGGAGCACACTTACACTGTAAACTTAAATTGGTTGATTTTACTTAAAAAATCATGCAAACTTGCCGCAAAAAAGCTACTTAACAGGTTCAGGCTCAAATAACTGTAGTTTTCGGTTATAATAACTTTCTAATTTTCAGTGATCCACAGTTCTTCTGCAAGTAAACTTAAACAGTCCAGTAATGTTAAATAGTTTTAAGTGAGCTGGCTTATATATATAAGCTTGAGTTCAAGGACAAATGTATTCAGATGTCCAAGTACAAAGACTAGTTTCTACAAAGTAAATAACTTTAAAGTATAAAATTTTATATTAATGTGGGGTTGCACTACATGATATTTTTAAAAATGACCTGACATGTTTAAAATGAATTTATACCATGACAAAAAATTTAGATCAAACACTTTGAATAGTTTCTTAAAAGTGCACATCGTTATTTTTATATTTTTGATTTTCTTTTAATCATTTTTAAATTTAGAACTTCTAAAACTATCATTTTGAATTCGTTTGTCTTTGACTGATTTCCCACTGTAACACAGCACCAGGAAGGGTTACTGAGCTAGCTGGGTGTCTTTCTCTCAATCGTAGGTGAGAGAGGTAGGAGGTGAAAAGCGATATTATTGGTTAAAATTATTTTTCCCCACCCGCTTGTGCAGTGATGTAATCAAAGCTCTAAACATATAGAGGCGAGCAAAAGTCACTACATTTAGTTTAATAGCAATCAGAGTTCCCTGGTGGAAGGTGTATGTAGTGTAAGAGTATGAGGTGACCTGTGTATTGAAGTATATTGTTTTCTACAATATATTTTGTATAGTTCACATGCATTACTATGCAGGAGACATTGAAATATTAATATTTGGAGCAAAATGAATGATTTTTACACTTGTAATGGATATATATCCACTCAACGAGTACACTATTAGGAACACTATACTAATACTGCGTAGGGCCTCCCTTTGCTCTCAAAACAGCTTCAGTTCTTCACAGCATGGATTCCACAGGATGTTGGAAACATCCCTGTCAGATACTGCTCCAGTTGCATCATGCAATTCCTACAGATTTTTCGGGTACACATGCTGTGAATCTCCCATTCTACCATGTCCCAAAGGTGTTCTATTGGATTCAGATCCAGTGACTGGGAAGGACACTAAAGAACTCATTGTTCATGTTCATGAAACCAGTTTGAGATGACTTTTGCTTTGTGACATGGTGCATTATCATGCTGGAAGTAGCCATTAGAAGACGGGAAAATTGTGGCCATGAAGGGATGCAAATGGCCAGCAACAGTACTCAAATAGGCGATGGCATTCACGGGCCTAAAGTGTGCCAAGAAAACATTCCCCACTCCATTACACCACCTCCACCAGCCTGGACAATTGACACAATGCAGGTTGAATCCATGGATCCAACAACAAGTTGTTGGTTCCAAATTCTGACCCTACCATCTGTGCGCTTCAGCAGAAATCAAGATTATTAGACCAGGCTACATTTGTCCAGTGCTTGTGCCCACTGCAGCCTCAACTTTCTGTTCTTGGCTAACAGAATTGGAACCCAACAAGGTGCTCTGCTGTTGTAGCCCATCCACCTTAAGGCTGGGTGTGTTGTGCATTCTGAAATGCTTTTATGCAACATTTGTACAGAGTGGTTATCTGAGTTACCGTAACCTTTCTGTCACAAACCAGTATGGACATTCTCTGTTGACCTCTCTCATCAACAAAGAGTTTCTGTCAGCAGAACTGATGCTCACTGGGTGCTTTTTCTTTATTGCACCATTCTGAGTTGACTCTAGAGACTGTTGTGCGTGAAAATTCTAGGAGACCAGCAGTTGTTGAAATACTCAGCTCATCTGGCACCAAAAATCATGCCACAGTCAAAATCACTGAGATCACTTTTTTCCCCTCTTCTGATGGTTGATGTGAACATTATCTGAAGCTGCAGACCTGTACCTGCATGATTTTTCTGCACTGCTGCCACACGTAGGTGTGGGTGTACAGGAGTTCCTAATAAAATGCTTGATGAGTGTATGAATTATAGTTCACCCTTATAATGATCTTTTTCTCAATTAAATAATTAAAATATATTATTTAGGTAGTATAGCAATGTATTTAATAATCAGCAGGCAGGTTTGGTGGGTCTCACAAGAAGTAAAATCAAATTACAAATACATTACTGGACAAATGCATACAATTTTGGTAATGTGTTGGTTGTAATGCAAAAAAAGTGTTTATCACAAGATGCGACAGGCCAGTCTGAACATTACCGATCATATGTTTTCAAAAAAAGCCTAAAATGAAACCTGTTTGCTAACAAAAACATATTTGTTGGCTTTATGCCATGGCTGCTAACAGCTTTTATTTTGTCTGTCTTCAAAGCTGTTGTTCACTTAAAGTCAAAGGTATCCAACGTTTCTCGGCAGTTTGATATGTGCTAAAATTATAATCATCTTCGGTTTTAAACTAAAGAGACGTGGCTCATTGGCTAGATTGTACAGTTATGTTATAAATTCAGGCTTGGTGAGATTATAGTTTATTCAGGAGGAGAAGTCTAATGTTGAACACAATCACCTCGAGGG